GTGTTAAGTTTAATAGGAATCTTCCTGCTCAACAGCCTTCAAAACACTAAACCTGATCGAGATACCTAGAGGTGTCTGATAAGAGAAAAATAAATATTATGGAAGAAAAATAAACATTCTATTCTCTAGATGTGACTTTGGCATATATCAGAAAGAGAAACTTATCACTTAGGAAGTCATTTCCTAGTTAACTGGGAAAATCTTCAGGTCTATTCCTGTTCAGAATTATACTTATAAAATTAAATGCTAGCGACCAAGTCTTTGTTGTAAAATGTTGATGGATGTTGCAAAGTTTGTCTTTTTTATCAGATTTTACCATCTGCCTCGCTGATGTGAATTTCATATTCTTTATTCCTTTTCTAATTGATCAAATAGGAAGTCTATTAATGCTTCTACAATTTCAATTTCTTCATTAAAAACCCCTCTGATGAAATAAAAATTGAAGGAAAAAACACTGTCAAGTGGACTCTGTAAACTATCAAGGAAGATTACATTAATTATACTGTTTACCCTCGAATAGTACTTTGGGGAAAACTTTCACGGACTTTAGTCCATTCTATTCTTAGTGGAGGGTAACAAAACACATAATAGAAGTCACACAATCACAAAAGTAATGAGAACTCTTGAGGTCAGTAGCTCCAGCCTTCCATCCTACAGATGAGAAACTGAAATCCGAGGATGTCAAGTGAAATTGTCCAAGGTCTGCAGTTTTCCACATTTTTACCATTACTGTTATGCTTCACGCTACCTGAGTCATCCCCACCTTTCAGATAAAATCATATTATTGGAGTCGCTCACCCAAAGCCTCACAGACTTTCAGGAAACTGGACCCTAGATTTTTGCCTTTTAACATCATTTTATTCTACTCTCCAGTGCATCCTGGCTGTTAATCTCTGCTACATAAAGGGCCATTCTCACCCTATTTGTGACTTAAAGGAGAAAAAGATTTCTGTTCATCTCACAAGGTGCTAAAGACTCCTGCAGATATATGGGTAACATCCTCAGGACCATTAACAACAGGCTCAAGAAATGGAATAAACATTCTGATTGTGATTTTTTTTTTTTTTTGAGTGTTCTACAAGTTACATAGGATGTGCTTAGGAAATACTGCTTGAATTGAATAGGCGAGAAAAGAGTGGTGGTAAGAGATAATATCATTTTTTTGTGTGTGTGAGGACTGAAGACCCTTGCTATATTTTATAGAAGGACCCACAGTTCCAACAAGTAGAGGAAATGCTTAACAACTAGGAAAACCTGAGAACCAAATACAGCTTTCCTAAACAAATTTTGTGGCCTTGGGAAAGTTACTAACTTTCCTGAACCATGATTTTCCTTTCTGTAAATACCATCGACCTTACAGAGATTTTATGTAGATTAAATTAGATAATGTATGGATAGAATCAGGCACACAACAAACACCCAACCATTTATCCTTCCCTGCCCTAGATGTCTGTCTAAGAAGTAGCCTGATTCTTTCATCTGTTTGAGATAAGAGTATTAGAATTAAGCTGGGCTGTGTCTGAATATTTTAGCATTATTGGAAACATGACTAACACACAGGGCATCACATTTTTATTTCCTTGGCATGTGCCAATGAAATTTTTTTCTTTAACAGTTTGCTGATGCTAAACATGGCATTTAAAAAGGAAACACACAGGTGAAGGGGTTTTTTGTTTAGTGAAATTTGTTTGGAAAAATGCTTTTTATAATAACATGCTATGGAATAATATTTAGTTTACTAAATGGCCTTGCATACTTTGCAGAGGAAATATTTAAAATCCTAAAGCTTCTGTGGCTTTAATATATGCAAATGATACTATAGGATGCCTTCTCAGAATCACTGGTCAAATTTGCCCCCACCCTCTCCACCTTTCCAAAACGTGCAGTATCCTAAAATCAGTAGTAATGATACTAGCAAGCTGTATGTAACACATTTGTGGATCCAGAAATTTACATCTCATAAATTTAAAAACAGATTCTATAACACTTGATGCTTTTGATTTCTTTTATGAAAATGTTAATATTTCATGATCTATGTGAGTTTACCATAAAATTATGTTGAGCATTCAAGACCAATTTTTTAATCAATTTATCAGATTACCCTTTGAACGAGAATAAAATAGAATGGTAAAAATCCCTTTTTTGAAAACAGTACAATTAATATTCACACTCTTGTGAAAGTGGCATTTCCCTCTGCCCAGAGCTCATGCCTATGCTGTACTTAGAAACTAGTGGTTCATAGATTTCAACCCTCTGGGTACCCTGTTTATAAGTTCAATCAATCCTGATCAAGATTTTCTCAGCCTGTGAATATATAAAGTTTAAACAAAGCCTTAGAAAAAATGAGCCTTCTTCCCTTCTCGCAACCACGTATATGTACTGTAGACTAGAATTACGTGCACAGTGACTTTTATAATAAAAGGTTCAGGGGATAAAGTGTTATAAGGAAGTTGGAGAAAGACTAGAGAACAATAGCATTTCAATCAATACTATTAAACATGAGAAACTGGGTTTGGGTAACATGAATAATAACAGTTATTTTCAAATGTTTAGAAAAGTGAAGTCTCCAGGACCTACTACAATTTTGATTAAATTTCTCAGAGATGAAATTACTAAAAAAAAAAAAAAAGAAGAAAGAAAAGAAAAGAAACAGAATACTAATGATTAAGAGGATAATGGATTAAGGGAATTAATGTGCCAAATCATACCAGCTTTTCAGAATAATACTGCTGTTTAAGGCTGGATGGTGTTTTAATTGATCAAAGTAAGCCTGCAGTTGTGTTCAGTGTTCGTTGATTTGTGTGTCCGTATGCGTCTACCTATATCTAGACCTGTGTGTTCTTGAGTATACTATCAGCCTGGTTAATAAGAATGCTTAGAATTGACTTTTTAAAACATGTGTAAGTCTTGAACACCTTCTGACCTTAAGAAAAAATTATTATTTATGTTTTTTAACAAATAGTGGCTGGATAGCTATAAAATCAAGAATTAGCAGTGAGAATAATCTTCTACTAAAAGCTAGAATTTAGTATTTACCAGGGGTGAGTGAAAGACCAGCTACTCCACAGTCTTTTTGAAACAATAAATAAGGAAAAATAATACAATCATGCTGTTTTGGGGTGTCATTGGGTATTTAGATTTTCTGGAGAAAGTAATATGACTCATTTAGGCCAAACAGCAAAAGGAAAAATAAAGCTACTTAAGTAGCCAATAAACATATAATTTTTTGGCTTTAAATCACACTGCAAACATATGTATTTTGGCATAAAAAATTATAGAATAATAAAATCCAAAACTATAAGGCTAATGTCCAGGTAATTATTTTTGATATCTCGGTGTCATATATTTCTTTTCAAATTCCAACACCCATCAGGTATTTTTTTAAGTAAAAATAAGACACCTCTCTTTTTCTCTCTCTCGCTCACACACACATACACACACACAATGGCCAATCTGAATTCTTTTGTTTTGCTTAATGTATTAAAATTTTGTTACAATCTAAAATCTTCTGTGTTACTTTCAGATATTGAAATATTTTTGTTTCTAAGCAATAGTTTTTTTAAATGTCAAAGCAATATAATTCACAGAAAGAGAAATCACTAGCTTAAACATTTTTGCATGAAATTTAGGTTATAGACGTTGTATTGTTTTTGCATGGAGTTTTCTTACTTTGATTTCAGCAAACCTATTTTGTGCATTTCACGTTTACTAAAAGTACACTTGGAGAGTTCACTCTATAGTGTTTGGAGCTGATTCCCTACAGATACAGTCTTTAAACATTCCCTGCAGAAAGGGTTTGATTGTTCATACTGTATGTTATCTTGTCTTGATCTTGTTACTCTGGCCTGTGCAGGCATTCAGGGTAACCCACCAAGAGAGTACAGACAGCTGACTGGATGAAGAAGACATTGGGGGAAAAAACTCCCATTGTTTAGATTTCTGTCAGAGGATATAAGAATACTTAATTTCTTTTATCTCTAGGGCTTTCATTATCATTTAAATTTCATTTTACATTAATTGATCAGGGATTAGTAAAGCCATTATGCAGAAATTAGAATAAGACAAGCCAGATGGAATGAATAATTCATGAAGTCCAATTACGTTTTATTTCTGGTGTACTTTCAAACTTGCCTCTGACTTCTGTGCTATTTTGATGTGACAATATTCACTGGAAATCAAGAGTGCCATTTTAATTTATTGTATCCCTCTGGAGTGGAAGCATTTGTATGCAGTGGGGGTATGCTAACATATTCCCCCCAGAACATCAATTTTAGGCATCGTGGAAATCTGGGTGATCTAGAAAATATAGTTGATTTTCTAGGGAGGTTCACCAGCACAGCAATGGGCCACAACCAGCACACCCGATTTGGGTGAAGTGTCCCCATGTAGGGAGACTAGTGTTTTCGGATGGAGAAATTTTCATCTCCTGGAAGAGCCATAATCTGCTTTAAAATATTTGTCCCCATTTCCGCCGTAAAGGAACCGTTAAAATATGAATTTGGCCTAGAGCTGGGCTGGGAGCAGCCGCAGCCGTTGCAGGTACAGACGAGGGCCACGAGGTGGCAGGGGCTGCCTTCAATGCAAAGGCTTGGGGTGGCCGGGACCGCCGGGGCTTCGGAGCATCCCGGCGGGTCTGAGCCGGGCGGACCGCGGCTGGGTTTAGGCTCCAGGCATCTCGCGTAGCGCTGCCCGGCGAGAATTCCCAGCTAATGGGCAGCCCGGTCCACCTGTCTGGAGTGTCTCGTGCGACTGTGTCTGAAACCGCCTCCCCCCCGCCGGTCCCAGCCCCCAGCCCCTACACAGGCCCCCCTCCCCCCGGTATTTATTTATGCCACTGGACAGTTCTAGTCACATTAAAGCTCCGGTTCACCTTCTCGAGGACTTTCATCTCGGGAAGTTTTATGACACTTTGTGAATGTGCAAAGTTTTTAATTAGGCTCTCTAGACAGCCCGAGGCAGCAGCAGCGCCACAAAGTCTTCACGGTCTCTCTGCTTTACAGCACAACAAGCCGCTCTACTCCTTTGAAGACAATGCAGACTATGTGTACGATGTCATGTGGTCCCCCGTGCATCCCGCGCTCTTTGCCTGCGTGGACGGGATGGGGCGCTTGGACCTCTGGAACCTCAACAATGACACCGAGGTGAGCCGCGGCTCAGCGCCCGGGCCGGAGGGCTGGGAGGGGGGCGCCGCCGGCCACTCGCAGTCTCTCTGCCTCTTCCTCCCAAACGGCCCTTTTTGGACAGACCCTCCAACGGCAGCGGGGCTGCCGGCCCCTCATTCTGGACTACGTTCAAAGGAACTGGCAGATACAGTGGCCCCAAATCACTTGATCTCACTTCATCCCTAAGCTGGGGCAGACCCTGAACAATTAATTAACGACCCCTTATTTTGCAAAGAGCAAAATGACAAGTGTGCACGCCTTGGCATTTTTCAGAGCCGGGTTGAAATAACTTCGTTGGCAAACACTTGGAAAAGAAAGCATTTATGAATACGGATATTAGACTGGGCTTTTAAAAAGGGCTATTTGTCAGTGTTTGCTGTTTGTACGATTACTGTTTCGAATACATAAAGATGAGTCTGTTGAATATTTTATGTTTAGCTCTTTCATCCATTTTATTTTTACCCAGGTAAACATTCCTGGTCTAAGATACTGAACTCAAAGGCAGACTTTAACAATAAATAGTCTGTAACTTTGAACATGTAGAAAAAAATTAACATGTCCCATTTAGAGTAATCCACAAGTGAAAAATAACCATTTTTTTTAAAGTAGCTGATACTAAAGAAACATTCTGTTTTAAAAGCATGCTATAAAAGTTTATATTTTAAAAATTGTGCCATATGCGCTGTTCCTTTTTTCCAATCTCAAAATTATCCAGGTACTAATTCAGCTACTCTGGTTTTGTTGTTTGGGGTTTGGGTGTTTTTTGTTTTGTTTTGTTTTGCGGGGCTTAACATAAATATTAAATGCCTTTCAGTTTTATAAAATAAAATAGTCTCTGCATCATTTCCTGGTTTCTGATTCATGAAGTTCTCCATAAATAAGAATGGACAGGTAAGTGGAACAAGTGCTAAAAAACTATATGTCAAGTGGAGAACAACAGAAAGGTCTTTTGAAGTGTTTTGAACAGGAAACAGCTCAGCCTTTTTAATTAGGAAGCCCACAGCTGGAGGATATGAGGAGGAGCAGACAACTAACTCTAGGATTTTTCTTTCTTTTTCTTCTTTCTTTTTTTTTTTTATGAATGGGGGCAGGGAAATATTCTTCAGGTGTTGTTATTGAACTACTGTATCTTCGAGGGCATATACACCTACCTTTTAAAAATCTCTCAGTGTAAGTCTCCTTCCCTTTGTAGGTATAAGAACTATGTGACCAGGGTGAGAGTTATTCACTGAATCATCTTTGAAAATAACCAAAAAGCATGAATCTGTGAAATACCTATGATTTGGGATACGGAAACATTTCATTATTGATTTTAATAAATAGAAAGACGTTATTACCCTATATTGTAAGGGTTTCCCAAAGTCTTTTGTCACTTGATTAAATCATACTGCTTCTATTTGCTAGGAAACGCCTTCCCTGAAAGCAGCCCCCAAACTAACATTTTCTAGATTGACATAGCAAACCTGTATATTAGAAATCAGACTTATTTGAGGTGAAGTTTAGGTGATGGCCAACTACAATGTGTAGGAAGGGAATTGAGGGTTCCACAGACTCCTTAATAATTCCTCTGTGACTATTTCTTTTCTATTTTTTAGGTAAAATGAAACTAATACCACAACCTTGTCAAATGTAATTTTTTCCTCTCTCTTTCTCTAGGTATCGAGAAACATCCACATAAGAGTCTTAGAGCTAAACACTTTTATAAAAATAACTGTTGGTCATGTAAACTGCTAAGTTTTGTGGTTAACATAGTTCTGCTTTCACAATAATACTAGAGATCGGGTCTGAATCAAATCCGATAATCACCTGAACACTTTTTAAAATCTTCACGTTCTTTTTGCCTTCTAGCAATTTAAATAGGATTTTTCAAATTTTTTCAGATTGAGAATTAGATTTGTTTAAAAAAATAATAATAATAAGCTAAATTCCCAGTGCAGCCATGTGTTTTGTTGTTGTTGTTCAAATTACATTGTTTTTATACCAGCTGCTCCTATGTGAGGATAGCTCACGTTTACCTACTTCAGTATTATGGATTTCTACTGCTTAATATAATAATTTATGCTATACACATCTTGTCTTTGCAATTAAAATGATTGAGCCATAAAGATTGTGAAATATGGTATTTGCAAAATCAAAGTTAAAGAAAAAAGACAGAGAAAATACATGAATTATTTTTATTACTGATTCATAAATTTTGAATGGTCATTACCCACCAAATCAATAGAAATATATTTTGTCAGTTTCTTCATGCATTCATTAATTTTTAGCACATAATATAGGCTGTGACAGTTCTTTTCTACTATTGATAGCTATGAAAAGATAGTGTTTAAAAAGATTTAAAATATTATTTCAGTTTTATTGTATTCCAAATAAATAACATTCTTAAAACTGTATCAAGCATTATTTTAAATGTGTCAAAAGATCACCGTCTCCTGAGAATTAAGTTTTTGTTGTATTTATATTAAGATTAGGCATTTTATTTAATTTTTAAGATTATTCATAACTAAAATCAGGTATCGAATAGAATTAGGTAAATAGAATTGGTAAGGATCCTGTATGAGCCTTCTAAATTATGATGTTAAAAATTAACTCTGCAGACCGTCTCGCTGAATCACAGATTTGTTTTCTGAACAGCATACTAATAATAAAGTGTATTGACAGAATTATGGTCCATCTAAATTCACATTGTTTCAGCCTTTGAAAGGGTTTGGTTAAAAATTCAGACTCCAGCCTACACAGCAGGTACCTTTATTGTAGAAATTGTATATTTTTTAAAAATAAATGAGCCAGGGACTTTTGGGAGTTTTTTTGTTCACAATTGACATACAGTGATTTAAGCGCAGGTGAAAGAATTTTTATTGATTTTAAGATTAAGTTTAAACATAGATTCTTATATATGATGGAGTTTTTATTGCTATTTTAAAGATAGGTATTGGGTCAATAATTTCGTATAAACAGATGGTTTCAATTCCCTGACTAACAGAATGCCAGGCGTGCTAAGTCACAGTACACGTTGTGTTCCCATCCTAATGCAACATGTTTATTAGACACAGGTCTTAAACAGTGGCATGAGATGGTCTTGGTGGCCCTTCTTTTCACCATTTTTTTTCTTTTTGTTTTAAATTTACCTTTCTTTATCTTAATGAAATGTTGTCATTTTCTATTTACCATTCTTATAAAAGGCACAAGCGAGCTGATCTTTATGCCGATTATAAACTTCCAAACAAGAAAACAAGAGTTTACACAACTAATGATGATAAAGAAGTAAAATTTCTTTTTCCAAATACTAAGGTTCTTGTGAGATTCCATTTCAGCACATCTAGTTCATTTTAATAACAATAATTATTGTAATTATCAGCGCTTTTAGGTTTGGGGTATTTATTAAAGGAGCTGTAAGGCATTTTCTAAGAGTAGGTAGCTACATTCTATAAGATAGCAACCTGGGGTCATTGCCAAAGTTATGGATTGCTTGCCACACACTGGTACTGCCAGGGGGAGGAAAAGGAGGGGAAAGAAAGAAAGGAGAATTTGAGGTTTTTGAAGTTTTTTACCTGCATGCCTTCTTTTCTACTTCTGATCATTTCCTCCCCATGAGGTTTTGAAGAATCAATACACATGTTAATTTTTCCCTGAAGACTCATATTAAGGTGAATTTTATTCCACCATACACACCCCTTTCCTCCTGTTATAATATCCTAAATCTTGGTAAATCCTGAAATCTATCAATTCATAAAGCATGACCTGGTGGTGAAGTATCTCATTTAGCTGTTGGGTTTGTATTTTGAACATACACTTGGCATAAACCAAAGAAATATTTATGTCATTCAGTGCCCAATGACTGTGGAAAAAGACTCTCCCTCCTCTCCTTTATGGTTAAATGTCTCTTCTCTCTACCCCTTAATTCAGTGGAGCATACGATTTAAGAACAATGAATCCTTTCTACCCCTGCACAAGGGATGTATATTACTCCATACACATGAAGGCAGTGGTGACTCATGCAGTTAAACTTATTGTCAATGCATATATTTAAATTCATATTCAGAGATTCTTTTTTTTCTGTTGTAACCTCTTTGGCAGGTTCCAACAGCAAGTGTGGCCATTGAGGGGGCATCTGCCCTAAACCGTGTTCGCTGGGCCCAAACTGGCAAAGAAGTGGCTGTTGGAGACTCAGAAGGCCGCATTTGGATCTATGACGTTGGAGAGGTACACGTTTATTTGTGTTGTTGTTTGACTTGTATATCTATGTTGTAGACCTAGTGAAGTTATGGACAAGATCTTGTGCGCCACCAAAACTCTCTGATGTGTCTGCAAATTTCCATTAACTTCAGTGGGAGTTTGGTGAGGCTTCCTGAGGCCTAATTTGATCTTTCGTCTTCATGCAGAGGATGCTTTAGTTAATGTTCCCAGGCTCATTTTAGAGCGCTATAGAATGCCTGTCTGTCTTGCGATGAAACGTGCACCTTCTCCACCAATTTCATGAGGATGAAAAGTGTGCCAGATTGACCATGCTAAAAGTGAACATGGAATTTTTTATTGACTAGAAAACTCAAGTTTTAGCTGGTAGGCTCAATTAAAATGTTTAATTAAAGTGTAGCCAATTGAGAAGACTGAGATAAATCAGAATTTTGTACCATTTTCATGATATTCAAAGTTATTCTATGAGAGATGTAACTCTCTGTCGTATTACATGCTATGTAAAGTATTTTTGAATATCACGTCACTCAATTAAAGAAAAAACCCTTGACATCTGTAATTCTGACAAATCTCAAATTTTTATAGTATATTTAATATTACATATCAATTAATTATACTTGAGCTTATCTATTTATTTTTACTATATGAGAAAGTGTTGACAAAAACCTTCATTTCTAGGGAGATTAAAGGATTTATTCCTGAAAGAGAAAACATTGAATTTTTTTTTTTTGAGACAGAGTCTCACTCTCTCACCCTGGGTGAAAGAGTACCATGGTGTCATAACTCACAGCATCAAATTCTTAGACTCAAGAGATCCACTTGCCTCAGCCTCCCGCGTAGCTGGGTCTACAGGCATCCACCACAACACCTGGCTAAAAATATTGAACTTCCGAGTAAAACAAAATAAGAGTGTTATGTTATTTAATTCTATTTTGGCACAATCTGAGTCTAACATTTGCAGTCCAGGGGGAAAATATGTCACATTTGTATGCACAGCATCCTAGACCTGGAAGGGACTCTGCACCCAGTGGATGGGTTTCGCTGATCATACTGAGAAGGGTTCTTTGTGGTTTCATCACTCAGCATCCTACAAATTGAGCAATCCTAGAGGGTTTGTTCTACGATAGAACTGTGATGACATATTATATACTGCTATACAGTACAGCTGATTATGTTAAAACAAGCTAGATAGTGTTTTATAAGTCAGCCAGGGACAGAAACTGAGTGACTTTAGAGATGAGGGTTTTCTATTCTGGATGCACAATGCTAAGTCAAAAGAAAATTCTTGGTTTTACTTCATGTTATCTATTTCATGAGACTGATGCTGCAAGCTGAGTCCTTACACTGATGATCCAGACTGTTAATACTTGGCTCCAACAGTGAAGATGCAAAGGGTCTGGTGACTATTGACCTAGTTCAGAGTCTTTGGGAAAAGAATACCCTCTAAGTGGGGACTACTCCCAATGAGCTTAACTGTGGTCTTCTCTTCAGGGAGTATTCTTTATATTTCATGTATCTTTCTCATGGTCTTCATCAAAATAAAACTAAACAGCAATAACGAAACCAAATATTTCTTATTAGGTCATCCTAAAAAATAGAAGAGAGCAAAGAGAATGTCAAAAAATGAACAAGATTTCTTTCTTTTACTTTCGTTCACTGATTGGCTTATAACAAGCGTGATTGGGAGAGAAACATAGAAATGAAGACATGCTCAGAGATGAAATGCCAGAAAATAGAGAAAATGTAAAAACTCTTCTCTCCACCTCTCTTTCATATGTGTTTTATCCCTGAGCACACTTAGGAATATATGCCACGTTATTTCGACCCTCAGTCTTGGATTCTAAGAGGGCTCATAACACAGAATAGTTTAAAAATCTGGGTTTTTTTTATTAAAAAGCTTTTGAAGAATCTGTGAACTTAAATATTATATGAGTATATCCATGTCCATGCACACACGTATATTTATACATCTCTGTGCAATAAGAAACCACAATGTGGCATATGTAGAGAATTTTGTACAATAAAGTGATTTTATAACTTATGCACAGAACTACTTGAGTATGACTCCTATTTTGGGAGTCTGTCTGATTTTACACAGGTTTCTTTGGCTGATATGTGGCTGCTAAAACTTCTTTCTAGGATGCTATCATCATTTCTAAATTGTAAAGTGTTGTTATACTCATATTTCTACTATCGCACTGGTGGGTCAGGCTGGTTTTCATTTTTGTGTTATTGCCCGTACTTTTCTAAGTGATATTACAGACTATAGAAATGCCTGCAACTATGGGCCAGTCTCGCCTATTGTCTGGAGTCTAGACAGCTATAGAAAAATCTCTGTGACACATAATAGGCCAAACAATTTGGAGGCTTGTTTATCCCTACAAATTCACTACCAAGAAAAAAAAAGGGGGGATATACTATTTTATTGAGAGTAGATAATATTACAGTCTTCTGGCCCTTCACTGAATGACCAAAAATCAGGATAAGGTTTATACACTTGAACAATTCTTCCTGTATTGTTTGATCACATACAAAGCAATCTATAGCTCAGAAAAACTCAGACTTAACAAAATAATTTTATCTTAACTGTGGCTTTTTTCTAAGTATTTTTGTAAGGTATATGTTTATTTGGGGGAAAGGGACCCTTTCTGTTTCTCGTTTCTCACCTCTATGCCTTATTCTAAATCACTGAAGACTGAGTCCACAGAGGCACCCTGTTATTAAAAGGAAAAACAACTTCTCTCCAGCTGAGGCTTCGCTACAGCCCATTTCTGAGAGAAGGTAGAGCCCTTCAAAGGCAAATGCTGCTGAGACTGTAATTACTGTTATGTTGTTCACCAGCCTGGAACTGACAGAGCGTAACTGCGCCTAGAACAGAAGGGCAGCCTAGTCCTCTGCAGCCTTCCGAATCACCCACATTGCTGGAAGCCAGATACAGAGCCTTCATAGCAAGCTGGCCCTTTGGAATTGGGGGTCACACCTAAAGCTGGTGCATGACTGGCAAAGAGTGAAGGTGTCAGAGTAGGAAGTGATTTAGAAGAAAAACATGGAGGTGAAGACCACCAAGGCAGTGCTACCATTATCAATATTCAAAACTCACTCGGTGCCAGCCACATACACCAGAGCTGATGGGTTCGAACCCAGCCCAGACCTGCCAAACAACAATGACAACTACAACCAAAAAGTAGCCAAGCATTGTGGCAGGCGCCTGTGGTCTCAGCTGCTTGGGAGGCTGAGGCAAGAAAATCATTTAAGCCCAGGAGTTGGAGGTTGCTGTGAGCTGTGATGCCTCAGCACTCTACCAAGGGCAACAGCTTAAGGCTCTGTCTCAAAAAAAAGGTTCAAAATTGGTTCTCTGATCCCTATTAAAATCGACCTCCTCACCTGGGCCAGTGAGGAGGTCAGTTTTAATAGGGATACTGGCCTTTGGCTGGAAAACCTTCTTTGTGAAACCCTCTAGCAAGATGAAACACTTTTAGATGAGCCTTATAATACAATCTGTATAAACAAGTCAATGGCAGTTTTTCAAGGACACCATGTTGTTTGATATTCCCTGGACAGACATCCTCCTTTCAAGCTCTCTGTGTGGACTTGATGGAAACCCTGTTAGTCTGGAGAGGAAGGAGGGGAGTAGGGCTATCTTTTGCCAAGGCGCAACCCCACAAATGAAGCAGATTTCATAGACGCAGGACCTGTGCAGGTGCACAGGGCCTGTGCTTAGGGGGGCCCTGGGCTGGGTTAACACTTTGCTATCATTGTCAAAACTTTAAAATGATCCTCCAAAGGCTCCATGTTTTCATTTTTCCCTGCAAATTACATAGCCAACCCTGTTCAGAAGGGTATTGGTCTTAATGCCACTCACAAGGCAAATCAGAAAAGAAAAATTCGGGCCTTGACCTAGATCGTCAGGAGGAAGAGGCAACCTCTAGAAATGTGGTTAAACATAGTATGTGCTATATAAAGCTATATACTTAAAAATGCCTAATGAGAATAGTAACAATTCTGTGTTACAAATTCAGGGGGCCCACAAAAATAGAGCTGAAACCAGAGTGAAGATTCTTTGCCTCCCTAATGCCCCATTTTGATCATTTTAATGGTAATTTTAACTGGAAGTATAATATAATTTGGGGAACAATCTCTGTGATGCCTACTGTGGTTGGGGTGGAGACAGGGTTTCTCTGTCCATACCATTTTGAAGATCTCCCTGAAGAGAGACTTCTGTGACTACGGACATCCCTCTTTGGGCCCAGGTAGACTTGCCTTCCTGTGACACCTGGCACTGAATGAGAAGGGCACTGTAGAAAGTGACTCTGGTGTTGTCAGTGAATAACAATCCAGCTGAGGCTGCAGCTGCCACAGGGAGTCCCAGCACAGTGCCCCTAGGACTGTGCCCTCCTCTGTTGTGTACAATTCTCCTCCATGACTTTTAGGTGATGGCAGAGAGCGGTAGCTGGAATCCAGATTCACTGATAGAATTTATTATGAACTTCTGAAGGGGTAAACAGAGGATTGTATATGCACTCACTGTAATCACCAGGTGGAATTTGTCCATCCACCCCTTTTATTTCTTTTTGTTACATTTAAATGGCAAAGGTATGAGTAATATCTCGAGGCCTGTGAGTCAAGAGGTAAAATAGAAAACAGCAATGTTTTCAGGCAGGCCCCGTTTTGCTGTGTTTATACAGCACACGTTTTTGGTTGTTTGATTTCAGTTTTATATCTGGAAAATGTACACATTTATTTTCACAGGTGGGGGTCTATTTTCTTTGCAGAGCAGGTGCTTAACTCCCATTAGCATAAATGGAAGTTATTTAAATGCAACCAAAAGACAGAGAAGACCTCTTTTATTACTTGGTTGTGATTTTTATGCTAGTTGTGCATTCAAAAGTTACTTAAGTAGACAGCGGTTGCATGCACCATTTAAATTTTGTAAGATCCGAAATGAAAAATGACCTTAGCTCTTGAATAAGTTTTGAGAAATCTGCAAACTGTGGAATGCAATCTGTTTT